CACACTCCCCCCCCCTCCCCGTGTCCCTCAGTGTCTCCCCACTAAAAATCTATCCATCTCCCAGTCTCCCACAATCTCCCCGTGTCCCTCAGTGTAACTCCCCCAAAAATCTATCCATCTCCCAGTCTCCCACAATCTCCCCGTGTCCCTCAGTGTAACTCCCCCAAAAATCTATCCATCTCCCAGTCTCCCACAGTCTCTCTGTTTCTGGCTCTCTCTCTCTCTCCCTGTCTCTCTCTCACACTTTCTCTCTGTCTCTCACTTTCTGTTTGACTCTCACTCTCTCTGTCTTTCTCTGTCTCTCTCTTCCTCTCTCTCTGTGTCTGTCCCTCTCTCTCACACACTTTCTGTCCATCTCTTTCACTTTCTGTCTCACTATCTCTCGGTCTTTCTCTCTCTCTCACTTTCTATCTCATTTTCTCCATCTGTTTCTCTCCTTTTCTCTCTGTCTGTCTCTCTCTCATCCTTTCTCAAAGAGCCCCTTGCACATTTGCTCATTTCCAGTCTCCTCGAACCAGTGTTGCTTTGAAAAATCAGAAGCAGTGCCCCCCTCCCTCCCTCTCTCTCTCTCCCTCTCTGAGCCTGCCTTTATTAAAGCAATAGACCGTGGGCCATCAGCTCCAGAAGATTAGTCAGACTTAAGTCCCATTATTTTCTCCAGTAACGTTTCCTCATGCCTGGAGTCAGACAATTTGCTAAAAATGATTTTGTAAATATTCCGCAGAGAAGGTAAAGATATTGTGGGAAGCATCTCCTCGTCCCCATTGCAATGTCTACTGGCTCTGTCGCTGAGGGAACACGGTGTGCCTTAGCTACTCTCCTACTTTTATCAATAAAACGCTCCTCGAACCTGCAATCACATTTTTTTTTTGCCAAAGAAATACATTTTCTTTCCCGACCCTGCATCGGTTTCTTGGTCCTTCATTTGCTGAGTGCTAAAATTTTGCAAAAGTCACAACACTTTCTGGCAGCCTTGCTAAAGCCAGAACTTGACATCTGAGAGCAAGAGTTGGGACAAGTTTCTGAAGATGTTTATTTTTTTTTAATTCTTTTCAGC